GCAAAAGAGTCCCATTTTCATCAGTTCCATAGTAAATGTGGATCACCAGGAATGGGAAGTGCACTATCTGCACTGCCCATCTCAGGTGGCACTGCCCATCTCAGGTGGCACTGCCCATCTCAGGCCTTGAACAAAAACATGACATCTGGAGCTGTGGCAGTCATCTTGTGTCCATGAGGGAAAAGACAAGAAAAATCATAGAAGAACCAGAGCCTCGATGCTGCTGAGCAGGTAAGTGAGTGTACACAGATTTAGTGAGACTAACGAAAATAAGAATTCCTCGTTTATTCATGCCATGGTGGGGGGTGCTTCTGCTACTGCAGCGAGGGCAGTGCTAGCAGACAGGGTACCCTTCACTCACTCTTGTCATAGACCGGCTCAGAGAGTACAGGGTCCATTCTGCACACGTGTCCCTGCTGGTCCCGATAGGAGGCCTGGAAGCAGATCCTCACGACGTTCATGTCCACCTCCTGATGGTTCTTCAGGGAGCCGGCTGTAGGGGACAGGAAGGCTCAGGGGGTGGATGGGGACAGGAAGTGGTGGGCGGGGAGCACGCAAGGCCTGGCCAGGGCAGGGAGGGGCAAGGACAGCAGGCGCTGGGCTCACCATTATAGGGGTCGATGCCCAGCTGGATCTTGCGCTCAATGGCGGCCTCGATCTCCTTCTTCCGCACACACTGGATGCCCAGGTTGTTAAAGCTGCGGGCAGAGAGGTGCAGTCCTGAGGCGCAGTGGGGCACCTGGCTCGGGGCTCCCAGCATGGAAAAACATCTTCAGTTTTAAGGATCCTTTTCTAGCTTTGCCTTGTCTTTTCCCCTTACCTAGGGAATATAGCTCAGCAGCATAAGTTTCTGCCTGGCAAGTGCAAGGTCCTGACTTCAATTCCCAGTATAAAAAAGAAAGAAACAAAGAAAGAAAGAATAAAGAAAACTTGCCCTCTCACTTTTTTTCCATACTAGGGCTCAAGATCAGGACCATTGTACTGAGCTACATAAACAGTTTCTTATAAAAAAATATTTCTGGGGGCTGGGGAGATAGCTCAGTAGAGTAAGTGCTTACAGGGTCCTGAGTTCAATCCCCAGTACCGGAAAAAAAAAAAAAAAATTCTGGGGCCGGGGAGATGGCTCAGTGGAATAAGCGCTTCCCTAGCAAGCGCAAAGGTCTGAGTTCAATCCCCGGTTCCGC